TCCGCGAAATAATCCGAAAAGATAGTTTTATTTAATAAAAACGATAGTATATTTAGTAAGTGTTATGCACAGTCAATAAGATCATATTACCTAAGTTTCATCAACTCTATTATAATTGTAAACAAATGCTCTTGAACGCTTCTGAAACTTGCAAACTAATATTAGTTCCTCGTATAACATAAAATAATTCTTATTATTGTTGCAAGCTCTACGTAGAATCAACACAACTGGAGGAAATGGCAGTGTCTGTCCAAGAACTGACTACTAGTGCAAAAGCATGCGAATCAAATATAATCAAACGTTATTCCTTTATTAAAAAAAAGAATTGAATAATTTCTATATAAAAATATTGATTTATAAAAACATACATGTACACATTTTCTAATAAATATTTCTTCCGAAAGCTCTTTTAAACGAAACAACGTGCGTTTTAATTTTGACATCCGAAAGCTGAACAAAAGAGATTTAAAAAAACGCATAATTTCAAATTGTGTGCCTTTTCTATAAGGAAACTTTTGAGACGCAAATTGAGTTTTTTTTATATCTATACTAATATTATAAAGAGGTAAACTTTGTGAGCTTGTGTGTTTATGAGTTTGTGGCGTTGTAGGGGGTAATCTCTGGCTGGATCTATTGAACTGACTTAGATAAAATTTGGTAAGAAGATAGTTTGAGAACCTGGAAACGACATACTTTTTAACCCGGAAACCATCCCTTAAGGGGTTGAAAGCGGGGATGAAAGTTTGTATGGGGAACCAACCTACTAGTCATTGTATAAAAGTCAATTTTATATCTTATTTATTTCATTTAACGTTATTGTCTTTATAAATACTGGTATTGTATCAATAAATCAGTCAAAGCTATGATCGATATATTTGTGTCAGTCGAGATACGTACATTTAAGTCAAGCTGCATTTACACGTAGCATTTTAACTGAAATATGCTTTCTTTATGATAATAAAAAAGCACATATATTTTTATTATATTTAGTATTTATTTCACATACATTACATTACATCAGCTTATTTGTAATAAAATGACTAACTAAATAAAATTAAAAATTAAAAAAAAAAAACCTCCGACATGTAATCGTCATTTTGTGGTGGCGGCCTTCTATGACCGATTATCATCAAACATAGCTAAGAACACTCTCGACAAACTCACCTTTCAAAAAAAAAACAAAATCAAAATCGGTTTATCCATTCGGGAACTACTATGCCACAGACAGACATACACACAGACACGTCAATCTTATAACACCCCGTCGTTTCTGCATCGGGGGTTAAAAAACCTTGTCTTTATTCTTAATTAAACTTTAAATGAGAAGGATGCTTTAATATAATATTATTGTAACTGCAATGAGATGAATCAGTTATTGTACCGGTATTATGTGCATAATATGGCATATTGGTATATCATAACATGAAGGTTGTTTCACATATTCTGCACAAAATCGGAGAGTTTTTATCCAAATACTAATAAACAATACTATATATATCGTAAGTATTTAGAATATGTGTATATCAAATAGTAATTTGATATACACATATTCTAAATACTTACGATATAGACTTAAAAATTCTATTCCCAATTGCACCACTTTATTTCTCCAAACTAAGTAAAATATCTACTTACATATATAGCCCTAAAAACGCATATTAATAGCTATATAAATAGGCCAAGACAACAGTTCAGTGCCTTTTTCTTGTCTGTTTGTTAACCTTTTTTTTGTGTGATAGCTTTAGTGTTATCCATAAAACAAATTTGGAAACAGTAATTTTTTCTATATTTTCTAATACTCTTTTTTGTCTTTAAATTTTCAATGATGATTATCTTTGAATTTCGACCACTAGACGGACCCAAGTTTTATTAATTTAGTCTTCATAAAAATTGGACTCGTGAAAGCTTTATAAAAGTTTTAATTTATGTCCAATTCTCTTCGCAAAGCTAGGCCCAAATTGTGGAGGAGTGGATTTCTTTTTTACTTATATAAATATTGATAAATAACTAAAATGAATTGCCTTATTATAACTTAGAAATATAAAATACTTATGTACGTTCTTCCATACTACAAGTAATACATGTATTTATTCCTTTTCTAACGTCCCACTACTGAGCATGGGTTTCACTTTAATACGAAGGGGATCAGGTCTAATCACGATGTTTTTCTTCACCATAAAAAAATAATACATATCACGTGAAAATTATGTATAACTCTTGGAAAAACAAGATTTATTCAAATACCAAATAGGTCATGTTATTCATTTACGGCCAATTCAAAACCATGAAAACGTCCTTCAGTTGAAATTTTATAAAAAAGTATTACAAAGCACAGCCAGGAGTAAACTGTAAGCTTTAAGCTTTACGTTAAAACGTGTACTGAAAAAACGGCCTTTGTACGATATTGTAGCAAATTTTTCGGATACGGTTTTCCAAGTAAACAATAGCTCAGAAAACAACAAATAAGAAACAACCGAACGTAGATAGAATGGAACGGGACGTGGTATAAATAATGCAACGTATACATAATGTATGTTTGGTAAGATGTGGGTTAACAAATTTGGAGATCTGAGCTTTAATGTCCTAAATGTAAGATTTTATGGCGATTTTTCTTTGAAATAAAAAAGTTTTCAAATTTTGTAGTTATGTTTGCTTGTTTCCCTCAAACTTTATTAGCGATTTACCTTTCCTGCGCTTCATTTCGCTTGGGCATCTAGTTGTCTTACTGTGTTACTCCAGGTCAAATTTTATGTGTACTAAAATTGATTTTAATTCATCTAACCGTTTCACCGTGAAAAAGTATCTAACATACACAAATACTTACAATTTTGCCTTTCTGCCTACCCACACTGTAACAAGTATAGGAGTATATTGACCTTTAAGACATTTAAAACTATAGTATTTCCCGTGACCATGATTGCTATAAAGCAGAACGATCAAAAAGAAAGGTCAGGAACCAAAAATTAATATACATTACATCATAAGCTTTTTTGTGTGGTCATAACATCACTCCCCGGGAGGAAAATTTCTTTAGTAGTAGGGAGTAGTTTAATTCAATTATCAGTATTATCCATCATTTTAGTCACTTTTTAGTCATATTTAAACTCATCATGACCTTTATATTGTAGGACCTCTTTGTCAGTATTAGTGAAGTGAGTATTAGCTTAGTTTTTTTTTAATATTTATAATTACTAGTGGGCCCTGCTTTTGTCCATTTTTTAAACGTAAAAAGTATATAGTTGGTACCATATAAAGTACAAATATTTTTTGTGCCGTGTAACTTGATGTTGCTTACTGCACCTGGCTGACTTTGGTACTTAATTCATAGAAATAAAATTAAATATTCTTACACAAAATTATACCTTACACAATAGGTACATTACAAAATAGTTAAATATTCTTACACAAAAATATACCTTACACAGTAAGTACATAGTTAAGATTTAAAGAGTAATTCAAGAAAACGATCGTTTCATTGTCTTATTAACTATGTTAATGATTATTGCAAGGCTGAATTTTTGCTTCTATGTTAAACAGTTGAACTTGACTTTTTATGCAAATAATATTATAATAAAATATTTAAAAATTCTTTCTTAGATTAAGCGAATATTTTGTCATTTTAAATAAAACTATCTTTTTGGATTATTTCGCGGGTTTATTTTGATTTTTGGAGGTCACGGAGGACACTCCCCCGTGACCATGATTGTTGTAAAGCATTCTTCGAAACGTCGGGGACCAAAAATCTAAATAAATCTGCGAAATAATCCGAAAAAATAGTTTTATTTAAAATATTTATAAATGAAGAACGATAGAAAAAACATTATAATATTAGCACAGAAGACGCAAATGCTCATATACATACGAGTATATAATAAATACTTTTTATTTCAAAAGTGTACGTACATATGTACGTACGTACAATAACTTTCAGATCACTTACCCCTTAGCCGTGATAGCTTACTTGATAAAAGAATTGAATTGAATTCCTTTTTTTATTGAAGCCGGTAAATTCAGTTGATCTGTGAAATATAGCTGTGTAGATAAAAAAACATAGATTAAATGAAACTAAAACCACTCTAATTAATGTTATTTGGAAAAACAAACAAAGAAAAAACCTAGTGCTATTAATATACAATAAAATCATGTTTTATTTCATTTTCAGGGGTATCCATATCACAAACTGTTGGGAATCTATTTTATTACTATAGTTGTAATAAATCTTGATAAAACTTATTTTATGTGTGCCGTTACTTTTCATTTCTGGCTCCTACATTTAGAAATGTTACGTAAGCGAGTATATACCGTGTACAGGGTGGAACAACACATCACCCTACATGCCAAACGAGAGCAAATTAAAATAAACAACCCCATGTCGGCTTTTAATTTCGAATTTCGCTAAAATTACTTATAAAATCTTCGGAAACATTGTATTTGCCTTTGTTTAATTACATGTTCAAAGTTAATTTAAGAAAATTTTGCTGTTTTTACTTGTTCCTTATGATTGTTTTAACGCCTCCCTTGACTTTATTAATTTTTTGCTTATTCAATCAACTCGAATACGAAATCATACTAATTATATTGTTAGGAATTCTTTATAGGTCCAAGAACTTGAGGCCGAGTATATTTACATTATATACTTCACAAACTTTACAAACGCAATAAAATTATACTTATTCATGAAATACTAAGAATTCTATAACTGAATATTTAAAATATGACAATAAATTCAAAATATCTAATATTTCTTTGTGAAAGAACAATAATGGAAATTTTAAGAATTTCCATATTTTGTTGAAAGTATATTTTACGAAAATTCGTATTTCAAAAACTGTACTCGTATATTATAATACAATTCGATAAGTTTATTGATCTTTGCGGACAAAGAGATAATATTACTGAGATAGATCGAATAAAAAATGAAAGCAATAATTTAACGTCGATTTTCTTTGTTCCAGATAATGCCAGCCACCTTCACTGATGTTCGAATGCCTTAAGGCAATATGAGAGTCAGGCGGAGTTTAGACGTGAGGCTGATAGCCTTGTGTACCACTTGGATACTTGTTCCTGCAATCGCTTGTCCTACTCAATGTATATGCAAATGGAAGAACGGTAAGCGATACGTCGAATGCACGGATAAACTCCTTAAAGCCATACCGAACTCACTAGACTCCGAAACTCAAGTATTAGATTTCACCGGCAATGATTTGCAAGTTTTACAAAAGGAAGCATTCCACAAACTCGGACTATTGGACCTACAGAAAATTTATCTCCAGAGATGTCGGTTGCAGAAAATCGATAACCACGCCTTTAGGGGCCTCGCGAATCTAGTTGAGTTGGATCTCTCCAATAATTATATTACCGTCATCCCATCGGCTAACTTTGTCTTTTTTCCGTCTCTAATGAGGCTATCTCTGAACAACAATCCTATAACAGGTATACGGACACATTGTTTTCAACATCTATCTTATTTGAATACATTGGAACTGAGCAACTGTAAAATCGAGAATATTGAACATGAAGCGTTTTCCGGGTTAAAGCATTTAGAATGGCTGAGGCTGAATGGTAATAGGTTATCAAATATTCAAGGAGATAATTTGTTTCCGGATACGTTGCGGGGGATCGATTTGGAAAACAATAATTGGAATTGCGATTGTAATTTGAGAGATTTACATAGTTGGTTATCGAATTTCAATATGCCACATGCCGTTGAACCCATTTGCTCGTTACCGGACCGCTTGAAAAAACGAACTATCACAAGTGTAAATGAATTTGATTTGGCTTGCTTACCCAAACTATCACCTACGTCAGTATATCTAGAAACGAATGTCGGGAATAACGTGTCTCTTGAATGTATTGTCAAGGCCGTGCCGGAGGCCAAAATACAGTGGTTCTATCAAGGACAACTTATTCGAAATTATTCAACGTCCGCCGCGGCGCCTCATCACGTATTTTACGTAGAAAACGGAGTTATAGATAAAAAAAGCGAGCTGTACATATTCAATATTGGGAACGACGATAACGGCACATATGCGTGTATTGCTGAGAACTCCGCCGGAAGGGTTCGTGCAAACTACACTATTAAAATTCTTGTGAAAGAAGAGCCTGTCGTTATTGTGGTCACGTTTCCTCACAGGCATTTAGTAGTGATAATAACTGTCATTTTTCTAATAATCGTTTTATTAATAGCTATAATAGCAGTCGTTCTATTAAAATTCAAAACGGATACGAGGAGTCGAAAGAAAAAAGAAAGCGGAAAAGACGTAGCGTTGTGTAACCAAATTTTACCGTCGAGTCGAAGTAACGGCTCTTTGCCTAAGAACAATGGGAGCGTTATAGTAAACGCCCATTCGCATCATGCTTTGCATTACACTGTGCAGACAAATAGAGATTACGAGTCGAGCGATGCATACCAGAGCAATAACATGAAAGGCTTTGTCGACAGAAATCCTGACCTAATTAGCGACGCGGAAACCGTCGCTAATAACGCGCAAAATGAGAACACTGCGCTATCTGTATACAAGACACAAACTGCTAACGACACTTTTGAGGAAGAGACCGCATTTACCGCCTCCACCGTACCTCGGCAAGTCACGTGGCAGGATCAACAAAATTTAACTAGCATGCCTCCCATGAGCATGCCGCCTAATGCAATGTACCAGCACTCTGCCGATGTGCACCTCAATCCTGGCTGTTTCTTAGATAGCGAAGGGTACCCATATGATTATGGCCTTCCAAAACACCCTTGTCGGCCACCAATAATGTCAAACTACTCAGTTGTCGGCCCATTTTATCAAACGTTACCGCATAACAGGCCGAAAGGACAAAAACTAGTTTGTAAATTCGCGAAAGATAACGAGTTTAACGCTACGCCACCGGCTTGTCCCAATTTCGAAGTGTTCAACGGAACGAACGTGAGGCGCACGCTGGAAGGGTATCCGGTGCCTAGGAATCGTCAAATTGCCTTCGTAGGAAACGGAACTGTTTATTATAATGAAGAATTCGTACCATCACCGCCAGAAGGGTACAAAACCGAACCAGTGCAATGCTGTGCACCCACAGAAACCTGTGCAAATTGGAACCCTAAAGGAACGTGTGCGGTCATGGTCCCCATCGGGATGCCGGAAGGTCCAGGTCGATGTTACCAGGTGGAAACCAGATGTGTAGACACACAAACAACTGATGCTCGGATTCCGGGTGAAGGCACCGAAAATGTGTTGAAACCACTGCCACAAGTCTCTAATGCCAAATGTGCTTCGGATATATGTTCTGAGAGCCCTGACGAGGGGTACGTTGGAGACGCCAACGACATCTGACGACGTCGTCGAACCGATAACGCGTAAACAGGGCAATTTAGACGCTAATAAAAAGTGATAAAGCGACTGAATATGAAAATAGTATTGTATATATGCTTACGAATACACGGACAGTGAAAGTGTCTGTGTTGCACAATTCGAATTTAGATTTAACTCTGTAAATCATAACGTTTTATACATACTCATTTCTATAATATTTTTATAGGCAATTAATTGTAAAACTGTAGACAGTCCTATCCGATTAATGAATAAAATTAGATTAAGCCTTTGTTCAATGTTTTAAGTATTTGTGTTGTTATATAGTCATTTCCCAAAAATAAACATTATAAGAAATGTTTATAATATAGTCGTTTAAAGTGTTTAAGATACCGTATGTATAATTGAAAGAATTGTTATTTTTTTATTTGGTGTACAATTTACATACATGCAACAGCTTTTTTAATAATCCTCAGAAATAGAATAATTGTTTTTAATTATCAGCTTGACAAGTTTAGACGAACCGTCGTCGTATTAGAGACATTTTCATATTCAAATGTAATTTTGATTTCAATATTCGTTTATTATTCAAATATTTATATGAAAAAAAATAATATTAGAGTACATTTTGATATGACATTAACAATGTGTTACATATAAGCTGTATTTATCAGTTTGTTTATAATAATAAAATTATGTGGTAAAAAGCAATAATATTCTTGAAGATAGTAAAAGTAATTATCTATCCATGTCTCAAGCCTCAGCTGTTGAGGAAAACCTGTGTTAGCAACATTCCAATAAAAAATCTATAACTTACTATTTATACTATTAAATAGACACAGAACTGTTGAAGAATTTTGTTATTTCTTTGTAACGTAAAATGCACACTAGCCTAATTAAAATTCCCCCTTATAATTTTCCTACGGTTCCAATTTCAATGAAGGAAGCGCTTTGAATACTCATAAAACAACTAAATGCTAAATTCTTCAATTTTCTTAATAAAGTTACAATAATAAAATTTCATGATCTAAGTAGACCTAAAGTTGTAAATAGTTTGTAAATATTAGATTTACTACAACTACCTTCGAATGAAACGATGTAGGGTATACGTACAGATATTTTGCAACGCCATCAATAGCTTCCAAGGATCAACAAAGACTCTCTGACAAAGTTTTTTGAAATGGCATTATATACATCATTATTTATCGATAGCTACCTATCTAGTACGTCATATATCGTACGTAATATCCATACTAATATTATAAAGAGGAAAGATTTTTTTGTTCGTTTGTAACGAATAAGCTCTGAAACTACGAAACCGATGTAAAAAGATAGTTTGAAACAATGGAAAGGACATAGAATAGTTTTTCTCCCGGAAATTATCCCTGAAGGGGGTGAAAATGGGGATGAAAGTTTGTATGGGAAAGCAACCTAAGGACGAACGCGAGCGAAGCTAGGGTGAGTCGCTAGTTCCTTGTATTAAAGAATTGAAATTATTTTATACGTATTTTAGTTATTTTCACTAATAATTAATATTTTTTCATTTCTTTAAAGTTTAATTTTCAACCATCGATTTGGGGCTGGCGTTATTGAATTCATCAGAATAAGTATTTGACAAAGCAAATGAATGTGTCCACATTAATTTGCTTTGTACAAGCATGAACCCAAGACCGCTAAAAAGCTTCCTTTGTGTTTAGATATCATTTGATTCGTTAGAAACAATTACTTACTCTTTAATATAGCATAAGCAATTTAAACAATATAAAAATAATATTCTTTGAAAATTTTATTACAAATAAAATTTTGCTGTAAAATGAAGTCGTCATATTCAATGTAACGTTTTACGAGTTTAATTTTAAACAATGCGAGCCAGCAATAATTAGTATTCACGATACTTTTTTGATTTATAGAAATTTTAATGAAAATTTGGCGAGACTCTGAAACTTTGTTATTGTATTTTTTACAATTCTCTCTTACCCTTTTTATCGCTCTTGTTTCATTGTTATTAGAAAATACACTTTTTAAAATTATTCGAATCCTTTTTTATACAGCTTTTTTATAATGGTTGTTGAATTGTTGGTATTGATTCCCCATACAATCTTTCATCCCCATTTTCACCCCCTTAAGGGATGATTTCCGGAATAAAAAATATCCTATGTCCTTCCCGGGGTCTCAAACTATCTGCTTACCAAATTTATAAATCGGTTTAGTAGTTTTTAAGTTTATTCATTAACATACAAAAATGCAAATCTTTCCTCTTTGTAATAGTAGTGTAGATGTATAAAACGTGCGATATAATTGAATGGTTCCCGCCATTTGATGAAAAATATCGTGAAGCAACCTGCATGACTGAGATAGAACTACAGACATAACTAGAAAAATGTAAAATTCGCCTACACGCCACTTAGTCAATATATAACGAACTATTTCTACCTGTCTTTCACTCGCAATGAAACAAGGCGAATGTCCAACAATGCGACGTTAAAAGGAATAATAATTATTTTATAACAACACTCTTACTTCTTACGAATATTTTTTGTGTGGAAAATCTTCCATAATTGTCAAAATTGCTAAGAATACATCATTGTAGTTGCGAAATATCTGTACATGGAGAAACATAAAATCGATATCAGGGTATCTCCCTTATAATAGACGCGGTGGTTCTGGCACTTGCTTCGTTTCTACAGATTTATTTTGTCAGTTTTCATTCCCATTTCTTAATGGAAGCTGCGATTCGAGCGGTTTTTAAATGTATAGTTTCTTTAGCATTGTGAGAATAGAGAGATTCTTTTAGTGTTTTCTTTTCTGTCTGGCACATGTTAGGTGGGTAAATTCGCAAGAATTTCTGATTCATCTTGTGACTTATTTAGTTTATAGTTTATAATATATTTAGTTTATAGTATATAATATATTTATAGTTTATAATATATATTTAAAATTAACCTTTTTAAGGCAATGAGAACCACTTTTGTTATTTTCTTCTCACTGGCAGTTACTGTTCCAGTAGTGAATAAAGCTGCTTTTGCGCATAAGCTCAGTATGATAATAACTGAAAGTAAATGAAATAGACATTTTTAATCTCATCCATACATAATATAATAAATCTCTAACTGAGTCAAATCTGTGCATTAAATATTTTTTGAAAAATCTTATTGAAATAGGCATTATTATCGAAACAGAGGCCAAATCTGTAGTTTTTATAATTTTTGTCTGTCTGTCTATCTGTTTGTCTGGGAACGCATCACGAGAAAATCATTGGACAGATTTTAATGAAATTTGGTATGATAATGAGCTGGTTATCCGGGTCAATATATAACTTTTTACTGCGGAAAAATATTTCATCTTTAAGAAATCTATACTAACCGTTAATGTTATAAGTAACGTAAAAGTAAAACTTCAGGTACAATAATGAAATATTCGTGAAACTCAATTTTCAAAAAGGCAAAAATTAAAAATGGAATGTTTAATAATATCTTTAGTAAAACTTTCAATACATTTTTTCCTTCTACAAATAAAATTAATATGGAAAATCGAGTAAACATTTTATATTTCTCAAAATTGCTTACATGAGATAAAAATAGGTCGAAGCGACGTCACAAGGGACAAAGAACCACTAAGTAATTACTTTTTGTCCGACTTCCACTAAAGAGGGTGTATTGTGCTTACGATTATTAATGTGAAGGGTTTTTGACAAATCACCCCCACAGTAAAACAAATACGTTTTCTAACAGCGTCTTCCAAAATATTTCCATACTACATTCTGGACATGTCATAAATTATCTATCATTAAAAAGCTTGTACGTATTTTTAGATGTAACATCATAATTTTTTTTTCTATTTGCGGGATAAAAGTAATCATTCCAAAAATATATCCACACTAATACTACTACTTATACATCAGTTTTTATTTATAAAATAATTTTAATCATAATGTCAAAATAGTAGATGAAATAAGAAGTATATATTAGTAAAATCTAATAAAAAGGCAAAAAGCCTTTAATATTTATAAAATAATCTTATACCTACACTTTGCAGAAAAAACAACAGAGTAAAAGATAAACTTTAAAATCACCATAATTTTTTTCTGTATTGAAGTATATACTATATATGTATGTCCGATCGTATGTTCTCTCGTAATTACTAAACGGCCTAACCGATTTTAATCATTCATACGTCGTTAAATCCGTCTTGAATAACGTGAGTGTTATATGAATATTATAAAAAATCAAAATGGCGCATTTCAGATGCCAATTAGTATGTAGTGGAAATAAATTTTCTTCCACTCTTATCGAGTGGGGTATCAAAAAATATGGTTTTAAGAGGATCGCAAAAACATATACAACTTTTGAGTTTAATATAGCTAATATCTATTCATTATGAACAATATTTCTTACAATTATCTTATCTCAACGACCAATACTCGTTTCTGTCCATTGTACGTGACGTGGGCGAAGTAATCTACGCTCAACTAGCTCGCTTACAGGCTATCAACAAAGAAATGAATTAAGCTAATTTTCACCAAAGTACTTGTTGTATTACGCGATATTAATAAATTATATTTATTTATAAAAAACTATCTTTTCAGATTTTTTCGCGAATTTATTTTACACTTTGGCTCTTTGAATGCTTTACAGCAATTGCGATCACGTGAGAGACTAAGGTTTCAGACGTCTCAAAGATCATATACAGTTGTACGTGTATATAGAAATGGATAATTTAGGAGGCATCCTCGATATAGAAATTTGTTTCGATTGATGCTCTATCTGGATAATAAAATGAGTTAAATCTTGATGATGTAAAATACGTCATTTCAATTAAATTAACATAAATATACATGCATAAAATCATGCAGTATATTTCATTTAATAAATTTTAGTACACTAATATTTTACTAAAAGTATTGGAAATGTAATATTGATATCCACATCAGTTGAAAATCTACTTAAATCGTAGTTTAAAATTTATATAAGCGAAGTACACAAGTGCCAGAACACTCCATAGGGAAATATTATTCTATCTTT